CAAAAAAAAATCAATGAACCTCCTAAAGGGTTTTGTAGTTTTTTCCTGCAATAGCGTCGACGTTAATTTTTGTATTAACAAACAAAGAAAGACATTTAATTGTTCATTTTTACATATGAACAAATAAAATGAAATATGTTAAATATTGTATTATAGATAAATATGTCACAGTATGCATAACTGATGGAATAACCATTTTCATGAAATATATGCATGCGGCTGATATGTGTCGTTTATGCACTGATTAATGATAATTGTCTTCATAATAAATAAAAGAGAAATATTCAGTGGTTGTAAATATACAATGGTAACCTTACAAAAATGTTATGCTTATGGATATATTTTCTTCATTATAGTATTTAAATATGTCTATTCAAAAAGCACACTCTTATCATCGACCTCAAAATTTCTTTGTTGCAATTTTTTTTCCTTTCTTTTATCATAGTATCCTACATTATCGACATTCATTCAAAATAAATAGAATTACCACTTTTCTTTTTCAAACAGAGGTTTGTAAATGTTTCCAGACGTCCTAGTTTTTTCTGTTTTTTTATAAATCAACATTAACAGATTGTTTCAGGGAAAAAATACTACGAATTTAAACAACTTCAAATAATATGGGTTTTGGAAAATAAGTGAAATTATTCTGTACAGGCGTTTTCAATCTTTGTTATAAGGGATTGATCAAAGTATAAGAAATAACTTTGAAAAAACTTCTAGATCTTTTTTAAAAAATTAATTGTATGTCAGAAAAAACTCATTTAAAAGTTTCACGAAATAATAATGGCTATCGAAAACTAAAAAATAATGTGTGTGGTTTTCTTTCAATATTATAACTATTTCCCATTTACAGACTTGAAACTAAAAATGATTGCTACCAATTAAAAGCAATTATAAGCAGTATTTTTTTTTATAAGAATAGACCAATGAAGAAATTTACATGTACACCAAAGAAATGATAAAATAATCTTCATATTGCAACTTATTTCAAATACCCCGATATTCGTCAAATTCTTAACAAATGAAATGACAGAAAACATTTTTAATGAACTTAAACATCAAACACGGACCTCTAGAACATTCAGAGACGGGATGTGATGCCATTCAGGAGTGAAAATCCTCGGTTGACCGTTCTCACCGGCCCCTTACCCTTAACATGATTTGTCGATAGAGAAAAAATTGGAATTTTTTGTACTAAAGACCCAATAATTTTTTTGAAAACGCCTTTTCGACTAAATGATACATACGATATTTTCTTTATTTAAAACAAGTTATTGCATCAATCAGAGAATAGAGAAATATAAGTAAAGACTATTAATGACTTTGGCCATTTCCTTGTTTCATCAACTTGTTTGTCAAAAGCTTATAGTTGTCTCTATTTTTTATTTTGAAAATATTAGATTTTAAAATGTAAAAAGTGTGCTGAAAATTTAATGCAAAGATCCTTTTTCAACATTATATGATCCAGATCTTTTTAAAAACACTGAGATCATAATTAAACATAATTTCATATGAAAATCCGTAATTCTGTGAAATATACATTTTAAAATGTCCATTTTAACCATTAACGTGTTGGCAAATTATGAATTTATCAATCAGCCACAGATTCTATAATTAACTTTTTATTTACTTTAAATTGTAATTTAGGCATCAATTCTGTATATATTTTCATAATTTATCATATCTTGTATTTACATGTATTTTATTTATCCAGCCATCCATACATTCATTTCAATATTTAAACTAGCATCCTTTAATTCACCAGAGTATTAAATTCTGTGCAATGTAAAAACAACATTTTTTTAAGTTCATTGTTGTGTGTTATGTTTTTTTTAATTTGTATTTCAACGATACATTAATTATTTATTATACTAAGTAATCATTTTGCCTGTTTACAATAATTGTAGTTTGGGCGGGGAAGGGGGATTCGGGAGAAAAAAAAATCATCTTATCTCGAAACTCGAAAATTTTATCTCATTTGTGTGTGTGGGGGGGGGGGGGGGGGGCAAAACTAATTTCCTATTAATTCATATAAAAAGTTATGTTTGAAATACTGACCCCATATGTCTGTAAATGTAAGTTTTTTGTGTGAATGCAAACGGGTTGTATATGATTAAGTTCAATTTTAAACAAAATACTTTATTTAGTGAATAAATAAAAAAAAACATACATGTAAATAAAGACATTTGTTTTACATGTATTTGCGGATGCTTCAATATATACCTGAACATGATTTGTTATTAATTCTAATTAAAATTATTATTATTTGGTCTTTGTAAACATTACATGCGCTACAAAGATAAAATTCAAACGCAGAAACGCAATTCAGATTTTTTTTAAAATCAATATCAGAAAACAGGGACCTATAAACATAGTATACAGGTCCTTGCTGAAAATCAGCACTTATAAAGTGACATTTCATTTTATTAAATAAATCAATTAAAATAAATTTTAAAAAATAATAAAAATTCAGGCCAATTCAATTTGGTTATTTTGATAAGCATAAGAGGTGTTATATTCATGATTCAATAATTAAGTGTATAAGTTAATGAATATGCTGAATCAAATGATCGGCAACTCTCGAACGAAAACTAACGTTATATAACCCGGGTGTTTTACCGTAGTTTACGTGCATTTATTTGCCAAAGGACAAAGGTAAGCCTTTTAAAGATAATTTTTTTGTGTATTTTTATCAGAGTAATTTGATTATTTAACATTTGTTTCACAATTGAGATATATCAACTTGTTGAGAAAATAGAAAATGATTCTTTACCGATTCCTTTATGATATATTTTCAAGTATAATTTATTCATTAAAAGTTAAAGTAATATTGAAAGAGGTACGGACAAGCTACTTCCTGTTACGTATCATAAGTCTTTAGGATGAAAATATACATGTTATTGAATATTGGTGTTTGTATTAGTTAATACTTCATCCATTTGTTAATTATTAATTTTTTTTTTTACTTTCGTTTTTATTTCAATGTATCAACTACGGAAACCTATAGAGATATATATAAGACAAAAATTGTCATTTCCTATTATATGGGGAAAAATAAAATAATTGTTTTCATGTAGATCGAAAACTTTAAAATACATACTTCATAAAAAAAATATGAATACTAGTATATTCATTAGACTAATTACATGAAGGATTTAATTGATAAAATAATTGTTCAATACACCTTTTGTTGTAAAATCATTTTTAGATAATAATATTACTCTTGATCCGGAAAAAAATCACATATCATGGAAACACAGAAGATTGATCCTGGTGAAGAAAGCTTTTCCATGTCTTACGAACAAACCCTCTGTATTAACTATTGAACATTTCTTCGTTCAAAATCAGCACGAACACAATCAAGCAATGAATTTGTATGAAACATGTCAGTCAAATCATGACCAAACGTTGGGTAGTATTTACAAACATGCACAACGAAAATGAATCGACAAAATATTTATAATAAAGGATAGTGTTGAAAGTCCTTTAACATCTACTTATTTGAATGTGCTCTGTGGCAACGCACTTTAAAATTTTTTTTTCAAAGTGCTTTAAAATTGGGACAAAATCAAGGCACTTTGAAAAAATTTTTCAAAGTGCGTTAAATTTTTGGACCAACTCAACGCACTTTGAAAAAAATTTTCAAAGTGCGTTAAGAGTCTACATCAATATATTTTACCATGGAGACACTTAACGCATTTTGAAAAAAATCATATTTTAGTCATAGAAAGATTTTATTTGTTATTTATCTTTCAAAAATTAAGCCTAACCCTAACCTCAAAAATGAATTGATTTTACTCCCGTCGAAAAGAGGAGAAGACGGGTATAAAATCCCTCAGTCCAAATCTTTATCTTTCCAATTCGTGTCGGTAAAAAACGGGGGAGGGGAGCAATAAACCTAAAAAGGGTACGCTGCATTTTCAATGCTTATACAATGTATGTATCTTTCCAAAATAAGTGGGGGGCTTAGCCCCCCATCCCCTCCCCTGGCCCTTCGCCCAGTCTTGATGTCTATGCTATACTCAAAGCATTCATATAATTATGTATTTACCTAACTGGTATGACGTTGAAAACTTTCAATAAGAAATGAGTTAATTGAAACAGATGAAAACTAGAAATTTTTAAGTATAGTAAAACGTATGAGAGAGAAAGAATTTTCATAGATTTGAACTATCAAATTGGCCCCTTTTTATTATGATAAATGCTAAGTTGCTTGAAGCTGTCCTCTGTTAGTGCCACCTATACACCTTTACATCTACTTATCAAAGACTAGAATTAAAAAAAAAAAAGAAGAAACGAATTAATGAACTTAAACAATCGTCACTCTTTTTTTCAAGACCCTTTAATTTTCCCTTTTATTTTATCAAAACCTTAAATGATTAAAACGTCAATATCTCAGGTCCTACAGTGACTTTATCATAAAAAAAGTTATCAAACCAGGATCTGTTATTTATCATATCGATTTGAAGGAATATTGATCAAACTTTACATTTTTTTCAAAGTGCGTTAATATGGTCGATATTAATGCACTTAAAAAAAATTTTTTTTTTCAAAGTGCGTTAGCTTGGACCCAAATTTTAACGCACTTTGAAAAAAAAAATTTCAAAGTGCGTAATTTTTCATAGTGCGTTGTAACAGTGCTATGACTGAATTATTAGAATTAGACTTACCTAGAACGTATATTTTTCAAGTCGAATGAGTTGAGAGAAGTATAGTGTAGTGAGGATTTTGCATTCATGATCTAGATTGCTAAATTAAAAAAAAAAGAAAATAGTAACGATTTTAATTATCTATATTATATATGGAGAGCAATGAAAAATCTTAAAATTATACATAAGAAATATAATGTAAGTGAGGAGACTTATTTGTGAATATTTTAGATTTTATTTAAAATAAATACATTTTTTGATACAATTGTTTCATTTTATAGCAAAACACTCAATATGTTTGAAAAATGCCCTTGAAGACAATTTATTGAAAATAAAATGTCATATTTGCAGATGACTGAAGCCAAGACGTCCAAAAACTGGCGTTCAGGCCTCAATGTTGCTGATTGTAACAGATACATGCTTGAAAACGAGATCCATTGTGATGTCTCATTTAGAGTAGGAAAAGAAGAAAAGCTTGTAGGCGCTCATAAATATGTTCTAGCGAGCAGAAGCCCTGTGTTTGACGCTATGTTGTATGGTGACCTGGCGGAAGCTAAGGAAATTAAAATTCCTGACATTGAGCCATCTGCATTCCATGTTCTTTTACGGTAGAATTTAGATTTTAATGATTTTTATCATAATTTCAGTATTCTTTTGGGCTATCTGAAAGTCAGTGTAAAATACATATGTCATTTTTCAACCTGCAACATTTTAATCACTTTTGAGTAACAAGTGCTTCAGTCATATATTACTTCTGAGTATAACAGAATAACAACATTATATAAAAAGCAATAATTTAGCATTGTCAACTTCCACTTCACGTAAGTACAGATTGGCGGTCTATATTATGCCTGAATTTTTTGAATATGCCAAGACTCATGTTCATAATATGCACGACTTATTTTTCATTTTAGAAAAGTATTTAGTAGTCATATGCGCAAGAGTGGTTGTGATATTTCGCTAAAGTATAAGATTTATTTTCCAGCTGTCAGTTTAGGTTCATTATACATGTATACTTATAATTTTATCATGATATTTTTTATAGATTTCTGTATTGCGGTGATGTTGATGTTACTGAGGACACAGTTATCGGGGCCTTGTACGGTGCTGATAAATATGATGCAGATGAATTGAAAAAAGCCGCGCAATCATATTTAGATCAAAATATTACAACCGAAACTGTCTGTACAATCCTTGAACCTGCAAAGTTATTCAACTTTGAAAATCTGAAGGAAAAATGTATGGATTTCATTGAACAAAACTGTGAGTCTGTATTTCAGACGCCATCTGCTTTAGGACTAATGAAAGAAACCCTCAGCGAAATAGTCTCATCCGATAAACTAAATATAGAGGAACTGGAAATTTATCACTTTCTTATAAAATGGGCTGAAAATCAATGCGAAAAGAAACATATTGAGAAGTCTGATGAAAATACCAGAAAAGAGATAGGTGATATCATATATCAAGTGCGTTTTCATTCATTAACTTTAGAAATTTTTGCAAAAGATGTTTGCAAACGGCAAATACTTACTCCGGAAGAGATGATATATTTGCAGCAAATTATTGTTGGTAATCTACCCGAAGGAAAAACAGAATTCAATCTTGGGGTCAGGGGATATACATGTAAAACCTTTACGGTTTTTCGTGGCAGTGGGCCGAGAAATGGTTGGGATTATACAGGTACCGAGGACAGTTTAGAATTTACCGTGAACAGAAAAGTTAAACTTCATGGTTTTATGATGTGGGGAGGAATGTCAGTTCCATATACTTACACGGTTGAGGGAAAATTGCTGGAAAACTCGATTGTCTCAGACCTACCTTCTCAGACATTTCATTCTTCGGATTTTCAGTTTGGTGTTAAATTCAGGAATCCAGTGGTTTTGTATCCTAAAAAAAGATACAGAGTTTGGGTTAAATTACAGGGACCAACAAGCTGGTATGGTCAAAATTACAAACAAACCGTCAACGAACAGGGTGTCCGGATAGATTTTTATACTCATAACGGGAATAATAATGGGACAACAGAATCTTCAGGACAGTTTCCGGGATTTATCCTATCATTGTAACGAGCGATTGCAGTTCATTCTTACAACTGGTTCTTACGAGGGACGTTTAATAAATAATATCCACAGCTCGATAACATACAACATAAAAGTTATATGCCATTAAACTTGATTTTCTCTAATTATTAAATCTTTAATGAGTAGATAACAGTTTATGTAGGCCTTTTAACTAATTTGACGATTGTTATGAAGAAGAAAATATAATGTCATGTTTTCTGAGTGCGCACTTTTGCGCTTCCTTCCTAAATATATATATATATATATATATATATATATATATATATATATATATATATATATATATATATATATATATATATATATATATATATATATATATACACACAAGTAAATGCAGTGTTACAACGCGAAATCTAATAACAACACAAAATGTAATAAACCTGGATTATTACATTTTGTGTTATAACATTTTGCGTCGAAATCAACGCAGAATGTAATAACGCAAAATTTAACAACACAATTTGGAGAAGTATTACATTTCGCGTTATTACATTTCGCGACGAGATCAACGCAGAATGTAATAACGCAAAATGTAATAACACGATTTTTGGATTATAACATTTTGCGTTGTTACATTTTGCGTCGAGATTAGGCAAAACACAGGAACGCAAAATGTAATAGCACATTTTTTCATCGGTTAGATTGAGTACAATTTTCAATAGTATAGTGGCCGATAATAAGAAAATAAAACAAAAGAAAAAAAAGATAAATTTCTTACAATTAATAAAATTTATAATATATTGATTTAATTAGTTACATGTATTTAAAATCAGTTTAATAAATGTATTCATATAAAATATGTTGCAAATTAGAAACATGCATCTGTGGGCAGGGTTGTTGGGGATATTGACCAGTGTGATTTTGCTTTTTTATAGACAAATGCAATGAATCTAATAAAAAAACTATTCATTTGTACGAGCAGGTGTAAATGTATAGCGGGAAGGGATTTATTGACAATAATGATACAATACTGTTCCGTGCAAATCTTTAGCATTGCAGACAAGCAAAACAAATTCTCTCTCTCTCTTTATTTCCATCCTATAATAAAAAACAGATTGTTTCTGCATGTCCACAGTCATACAATAATAAACATACGAAGTAAACTCCCCACCCTATCCCTGTCCCTGCGATCATCGTTTGACACACACATACACTTCTATTCATTTGTTAACCAATGTATACGTGCCGAAAATGCATATCAAGAGCTTTTAATGAACCTATGGTCAATCTTTGTTAATTAAATATGTTTTATTGGTTAGAAATTTAATAAGACTATCAAAAATATGCCAATCAAAGTTAAATTAATTCTTTATAATTAAGTACGATGTACAGTGTATTCAATATAACTAAAATCAGAGTCAGAAAAACGATACATTTTGATGTATTTATCTCCGAAAAAAGCTCTAACGTTGGTCTCATTGCTTTAGTTAGGAATATTTTTACAGCGTGATTCCCATGTTGGTTACAGGTATATATGTGAATCAATTTTATGATCTTTTTTTGTTAAACGCAATCAAAAATATTAGTTATATTTTGCTTTATTACATATTGTTTTATTAATTTTGTATTGTCTTCAGCAAAAAAAAATAAAATAACGCAAAATGTAACAAGGAAAAAGCACGTTATTACATTTTGCATCGAGACCAACGCAAAATGTAATAAAGTAAAAATGTAATAATCTAAAAAAAATTTGTTATTACATTTTGCGTTATTATATTTTGCGTTGGTCTCGACGCAAAATGTAATAACGCAAAATGTAATAATCCAGGTTTATTACATTTCGCGTTGTTATTACATTTCGCGTTGTAACATGCAGCAATAAATTATCTTATTTGTGTTATGTAGCACGAAGAAGAACGACTGAGTATAAAAAAATGAAACAGGTTAGAACTGAGAAGAAGGATAAAGATTTCACTTTTTATTTTCATTTAAAATTTTACATATATGTAATAAAACTATGCCTGCAACTATAAAGTAAATAAGTTTAACATTACACAGGCAAAAGTAGCTCACATAAATTTCATGTGAATTCTTTGCATGAAAAAGACACCAAAAACAAGACATGTGAAGTTTATGTGAAAACTTCATATGATTTTGAGATAAATCTATATGAATTTTACATGACGAGCATATTGCATAGATATCATGCAAAGAAAATTTCACATGAAAGTTAAAAAAAAAAAAAGATTTGTGTGAATATCATATAACCTTATATTCACATGATACTGGAGTATTAACATGAAAATATATTTATATAAGTTTCATATCTTTTTCACATAATTTTTTAATCAAAAGATAATTACGTGAATATCACGTAAGCCACTTTACCCTGTGAAGTGCTAAATTTTAAAACCACTGCATTCAAGAAACACTTAGGAAATGCTTAAAACTGACGCGTATAAACAGATAGATGCCTCAGACCTGCTCTAAACAAGTTTCAGCACTGAGTTATCGTTCATAACAGCGAACACAAGCGGCAGTTGAAAGGCCTAGTTTATGAAATCACTTTTCATCACATAGTTCCATTGTGAGAAGCTGGAAAACAAGGGTTAGTCGAGACACTGCATGTCAAGAATCAGTAAACTAGAGTGAAATAAAACGCTCCATTAAAGCTGCTGTAAATCTTGTTCAGAGTCCCAAGGATATATGAGCTGAAATATGTGAAATTTACAACAGCCAATATCTGTTTTATACACATACGAGCAAGTGCATTTCAATGAACAAAAATAATATAATGGACATCAAAAATGGGCACCGTCCTTGGCGACAAGGACATGCAACAACAAAATTATGTATATTTGCGAAAATTCAACAAATTATCACTGAGTATGTTTGATTGACTTTAAGACACAGAGCAAATTTGAAAGACAACATTTTGGGGGGGTTCACACGTTTTTAAAGAAATATTTGATAGTTAAAAAAAGTTTAATACTCAAAGGTCACCCAATATTTTGAAAAATATACTAATCAAAATTTCTAAGTCCCCACGTAAGTATTTGTTTTTCACCGCTCTTATATTAAATAATTCAGACAATATAAATTGAAAACTATACAGGATAAAAAGAAGCAAATCATTTTTTGTTCACTTAATCTTATTATATTGAGGGACTTGAACACAAAATGCAGAAGAGTGAAGGCACCCTAGAATTAAAAATTCGCAACGTTCACTACTGTTTTTATCCTCCGTGCAAACGAATTAAGATCAAGATAATTGCTTCTCAAAGAGTTCACACAGTTAAAGAAAAATCTTTATTGAAGGTTATTCCATGTATGGACTAGGTCGTCCACTACTAGTATATTTCCGCCAGATTCTGCTGCTGGAAAAGCGCTTAATCTCTGGTCCACCTTGTCCCGTTCATGTTCTATAGGGTTGAGATGTGGATGACATTGAAGCTAACTGAAATTGTTTATACCCAATATTAATCCTACAGTACATAAGGTCTTCTTAAATGCATTCCCCACTCTTCCAGTTTGTTTCTAATAATTTGGATAATTAAGGAGACTTCAATTAATTTTTAATGAGTGCAGAGCAATTGCACGAGCAGATAGGTTCCTTCCACAGTAGTTAGTAATTCTTATGTAGTAGCCCTGTTGAGGTGTCGTTGCAGTACGTGTATACGCCTTGACCATTGGCACTTCCGGTTCCGGTTTGAGTGAATTTCCGGTTAAACTCTAGGGTGGTTAAGTGGTATTTCATGAAAATCTAGCAATTTTTAGTGACTATAATGAATACAAGTAAGCCTTGTGCATCTTCCTGACGGTATTTTAAACAATTTTACATAAAATAAACAAATACAAACGAAGAAAATACAATTTTCCTTTACTGCCACCAGCTTGGACCATGGCAACTTCACTTGCACATTGTCGTTCGTACATACACGGCATTTTAAAGAAGCTTTTTTCTGTTTTTCCTAAACAACTAAAGATGGAGAACACAAGACAATTTAAATAAATGGAAGATACACCCGAAAACATACACTACTAAATCAAAAACGTAATGACATTCCCATTTTTTACTGACAAACTTAGAAAATTACTGACAATGTGCTGTCGTTACTGTAAAACTTAGACAATTACTGACCTTTTTACTGCCGGTACTGATAAACTTAGAAAAGTACTGACAATCTTAGTCGGTGCTGATAAACTTAGACAATTACTGACCCGTTTACTGTCCCTGCTGAAAAACTTAGACAAGTGCTGACATTTACTGATAATTACTGTCCCTATTGTTCTCGCTCTCGGGGAGGCTGCAGTGGTGTGAAATTGATTTTTGTTTTATTTTAACATAGATTATTATTTCATTTATTTGTTTTTTGATGTAATTTTTAACTATGTCCAGATGATATCTTTGAAAAAAAAAGCTTCTTTGATCTATTTATACAAAATTGATTTGTAAAAAAATATTTTTAAGAGCAGGGATGAAATTTCAAAACCTTCAAAAAGATAAGCAATTTAAAAAAATAAAAATCTTCCTTTAGTAGTGAGAAATGAAATTTTACAGAGGTCTTTTCCTTTTTATAATAAAACAATGTTATTACATGACATGCATTTTATAATATTTTCTTAATTAACATTGACTCCCTGACTTTCTTTAATATTAATTCAAAGAATTAAACTGTTAGGTTAGATGTGTTTTATTCAATTTTAATTCAATTTATTCAAATTAGTTTGAATAATTTTAATAAACTCATAGCGCGCGGTGAGGCCGTGGGTGCCCCTTTTTCATGTAATTATGTGGAGGCCGCCCATATTTGTTTTTGTGCAGTCAAACATACCCGAATCCAAGCATTTGCAAGAAGCAAACCAAAATTAAAAGACAGACAGGGGATTTAAATTAAAAATAAGACTTATTATTTTATTCATTGGGCAGGGGGAGGGGGGCTACGGGCCTGCATTGATCATTGATCCTTTGATATTCATTGATTTAGTTACTGTCCGCATTATTCCTTTTAAATAATGTACATCTTTTAGCCGATTTTCGA